AACATAAGAAGTCACATCAGAAATCAACTACACTTGTTAAATGTCCTAAAAGGCAACATACCAAAGACAATTTATTGCTATAGTCTTTAATTTCTATCATGCTTTCCTTCCAAGTAGTTGAGAATGTAGTTAATACAATGTGAGTAATTAAGAGAATTTAGGACATGAGTTAGAATCTCATTTTGCCATTTATTTACTGTATCTTCATATCTTCATCTATAAAATAGGGTTACAATAATAACATCTACCTCACATGATCATCACTTAGCAAAGTACTGACACGTTATTAGAACTCAGAGTTACTGTGTTTTAATGTTATTATTGCTATTACTGTTACTGACTATAACAAAATTGCCAGGACCACAGCCCAGAAGCTAGAGTATCTGAGTTAGAATTCTGGTTCAATCACTTACTACTTTATAACCACAGGAATTACTTAATCTTTCTGTGCCTCAGAACTCTTAGCTGGAAAGAAGAGATGATAAAACAGCTCCATTCTCACAGAGTTTCTGTGAGGTTTAAATACGGTAATGTGTGTAGCAGAGCACTCAGGAGAGTGACCCACAATAAGGAAGCACTTGTATTAGCTGCTGCTGGTATGAATGCAGTCGCCTTTGCTCCAGGGAACCGGTGGAATCACATGTATAGGCAAATCAATTGCATCCCTCAACGAGGGATTCAAGACAGACCTGAATTATAATCAGTGCTTCCCAGTGAATTAAAGTAGAACATGTCTTGTACAGTAGGTATCCACCCACCATATGTATGTTTCATTCCTACAAGCATACATGAGGCAAAAATAGCCTTATGAGTTATATAGGTTTTGTTTCTGGAGAGCCAATTAATAGGTACAAAACTCCTAATTATGGCATAAATCTTCCTCCCTCCAGAGTTATTTAATGTACATAGCTCATTTACACATTGTAGCTGACTCTGTCATTACCCTACTCATATCTCCTCCCTTATGTTTTCAGTGATGCTTGCTTGCCCTACTATCTAGCTTCCAGTTCCTACATTTGTTTGCCTCAGGGCCCCTATGATGGGATAATTCTAAGGCTCACAGAGTCTAAGAGCAGTATTAAGCTTCAAGTGCCCACAACAGTAACTTGCTATTCCTTCCTGGCTCACATGCCCATTTCACTTCCAGGAGATGTTCTCAGGGCATGCTTCTGCCTGAGAAATTCAAAGGCAAACAATAAACTACAAGTAGAGGCAAGTCTACAAAAACTGCACATATTTTACTTTTTTCAACCTACTTGAAATATCAAATAAACAGAAGAGAATGGTTTTAGGTATTAATATAAGGAGGTATTAGGAAGTAAGTGCTGATATGACTACATGATCCTGGGCAGAGGGTATGCTGGTATATGAGTTAGAATCTCCTGAGAGGCAGCTACCAAGAAAGCATCAGCTATTAAAAAAAAAAAAAAAAAATCACTCAATCAGAGAACCAAAAAGAAAAAACAGGAGGACAACTTAAGGGAACTATGGGACAACAGGAAACATAACAATATTTTCATCATAGGAGTAATAGAAGGTGAAGAAAGTGAACAGGGGATAGAGAACCTGTTTGAAGAAATAATGGCAGAAAACTTCTCTAACCTGGTGAGGTAAAAAGTCACATAAATTCAGGAGGCACTAAGTCCCAAGCAAGAAGAACCCAAACAGACCTACACCTAGACACATCATAATTAAAATGCCAAAAATTATGGACAAAGATTCTTAAAGGCAGAAAGAGAAAAACAATTTGTTACCTACAAGGGAGTTCCCATAAGGATTTTCAAACAAAAAAAAAGGCTAAAGGAGTTTATCACCAAGAAATTTAAGAGGTAAAGGGGCAGGAAAAATAGTTTTTAAAAAAGTAGCTGAGCATGGCTAGCATAATTGTGGTTGAGCATCAACCTATGAACTAGAAGACCACAGTGCTATTCCTGGTCAGGGCACATGCCCAGGTTGCAGGCTCGATCCCCAGTGTGGGCCATGGAGGAGGCAGCTGACCAATGATTCTCTCTCATCATTGTTGTTTCTATCTCTCCCTCCCTCTCCATTTCTCTCTAAAATCATTAAAAATATTTTTTTACAAAAAGAGTGAGAATAACTCAGGCTTCTTGACAGTGATTATGAAACTAGAAAACAATGAAGCCTTCAAAATTATGAAGACAAGTTATTTTCAACCTAAAATTGTATACAAAATTTCAATCACATATTCTAAAATGATAAATGCATCTTCCGATTTGCCAAGTCTCAAAAAATTATCTTTCACAAATCTTTTCTTGATAGGTCCTATAAGAAATGCTCAATCAAAATGAGAGTGAAAACCAAGAAAGAGGCATACATAAAATCCAGGATTAAGTTGCTCCAAATAAGAGGAGATAAAGGGAATTCCAAGAAAGAGAATGAAGGGAGACCTAAGTAATAATGGTCACATAGTAGAGAGGCTGCTGAGTTCAAATTAGAGCAGTGAGAAGGTTGTGAGGAAAAATTGTCCACTAAAACAAATACAATGGTAAGAAATTAAAGTTTTATTAGTAAGTAAAACTAGGAAAACAAAACCCGAAAATAATTAAGTAAAGAAAATAAAAAGTTGTGAAGGAAAAGTAATCATAATTAATATTTTCCTTGGTTACAAATATTATGTATTCACAAGTATGTAATGCTTGATATTAATCTAACCAAAACATGATACATATGTTCCTTAAAAAATGGAGGGATGGGAAATATTCAGTGGGTAGCTGGTGGTGAAAAGTGGGTGAGGAGAAGAGAACTCAATATTTATGTATTTTTTAAAAAGATTAAAAATGATGGCAAAGTAGAAGGATGCTGCACATACATGCTCCCAGGAACAAGCTGGAATTACAACTGAAATGCGGAAAGGCTTCCTGAATAATCAATGAAAAACTCACAGAAGAGAACCTAGATACCCAAGGACCGAAGGTGGAGACCACAGAGAGTCTGGTAAGAGGGGCAGAGGCGTGAAAGGGCTTGTGGGGCACCCACAGATGGCAAGTGAAGCCTAAGACCATCAGAAAACACAGACATTTGCATTACTATTCATAACAGTAGCAGAATTACAGTTATGAAGTAGCACCGAAAATAATTTTATGGTTGGGGGGGGGTCGAGGGATTAGATATCCTGGAGAGATATCAGCTGTGAGGTCGCCACTCAGAACTCTGGGATCTAATCCAATTAGTCAGAACAGCCTTTAACACCGTCCTGGCCTAGAGATTGAGAGATTAGAGGATCTATCTAATACCCAAGTTACAAACCCAAACAGACAACCATAATGAGGACAAAGGCTATCATTCGGTCAAATAGTCAGTCAAATAAAGAGCTTCCCCCACAAAAAAAGGCTAAAGGAGTTCATCACCACCAGGCCAGTATTACAAGAAATGCTTAAAGGGATTGCTGTGAACAACTGCTGACAAGAAGAAACAGAGAGAGAAACCTAGCCATACAGAATTAAAATGGCTATCAAAAAGTACCTCTCAATAATGGCCCTAAATGTAAATGGATTAAATGCTCCAATCAAAAGGTGTAGAGTAGCTGAATGGATACAAAACCATGACCCAGCTATATGCTATCTAGAAGAGACCCACCTCAAAACAAAAGACACACACAGGATGAAAGTGAAGGAATGGAAAAGAAAAAAGGCTTGAATATTAAAACTCATACTGTAGTAGGTCCTCGGGTTACATCAGAGATCCGTTCCTAAAGCACAGCGTAACGGAATTGAGCCGTAAGTCAGAACACACCTACATCACTCCCAGGGAGCACATACACAGCAGTAATGAAGTGAAACAGTAACAAAAATTTAAAAGAAAGATAACAATTCCTAACCTTTATTTGTGGCAAATACAATAAATAATAATAATAATTTAAAAAAACATAAAAAAGCACATATGTCGAAATGACAGAACTTTTTTTTTAATATAAATAAATGGAAGATGGCGACGCAACCATGAAACAAAGTACACAGAGTCCAAAGTAACCCAAGGACTGCCTGTATCCAACAAAATAAACTTTAAAAGCATCATGCTAAGCAAAATAAGCCAGTCAGAGAAAGATAAATATCACATGATCTCACTCCTTTGTGGAATATAATGAACAACATAAATTGATGAACAAAAATAAAGCCAAAGGGAAAAAATATTGTAGAATATAATAGAAATAATACTATTATTTGCATATTTTTAATATTTCCTACAACTTTTGTGATATCATACTATGTTAGTACAGTTTGGATAATATTATTATACTTACAATCCTTTTATTCTTGAAACATTAATGTTTATTGCATATAATTTTATTATATGTAAGATCATTTTTCTTAAATAATTGGTGTTTATTGCATGTAACATTATCATAAAAAATTTATGTGTAGCCGAAACAGGTTTGGCTCAGTGGATAGAGCGTTGGTCTGGGGACTTAAAGGTCCCAGGTTCGATTCCGATCAAGGGCATGTACATTGGTTGCGGGCACATCCCCAGTAGGGTGTGTGCAAGAGGCAGCTGGTCAATGTTTCTCTCTCATTGATGTTTCTAGCTCTCTATCACTCTCTGTAAAAAATCAATAAAAAAAATATATAAAAAAATCAATAAAAAAATTTATGTGTAGAACCGAAACCGGTTTGGCTCAGTGGATAGAGCGTCAGCCTGCAGACTGAAAGGTCCCAGGTTCGATTTTGGTTAAGGGCATGTACCTTGGTTGCAAGCACATCCCCAGTAGGAGGTGTGCAGGAGGCAGCTGATCGATGATTCTCTCTCATCGATGTTTCTAACTCTCTATCCCTCTCTCTTCCTCTCTGTAAAAAAATCAATTGAAAAATATATTTTTTAAAAAAAATTTATGTGTAGAAATACATTATAAGCATGTCATTTAGCAATAAGGATGTACAGTGCAAAAGAATCCACTAAGAGTTAAAAGTTGCTACCCTTAAGGAAGGATAGGATTAAGAAATGCCATAGATGGAATAAAATTTTTTGAAACCATTCATTCCTACCTTAGGAAGCTCCGATAGTCTCTCTTCACTTGTCAGAGAATGACTGCTTGCACAGGAGGCACAGTCTGATATTTCCGCGGCACTCTCACCATCTTCCACAGCACTCCCACTGTCCTCAAACTCATTCTCGTCATCAGTGTCTTCCCTGTCACTGTCCCTCTCCCAGTCAACAAACTGTAGTTCACCTAGAAAATAATTTCAAACTCAATTTTATATGTTAAATACAATTTCAAACTAAATTTTAATTTTTTTTAATTTATGTTTTATTCACAGGTTGAGAACCACTAGCAGGGTCGCCTAAGACCATCAGAAAACACAGACATTTGCATTACTATTCATAACAGTAGCAGAATTACAGTTATGAAGTAGCACCGAAAATAATTTTATGGTTGGGGGGGGGTCGAGGGATTAGAAAGGTTGAGAACCACCTCTTTAAACAATAAAAAAAAAAGGGGGTGTGTGTGTAAAAAGGACAGAGGAAGAAAGGGAGAAGAGAGGAGAGAAGAGAAAAAGAGGGGAGAAGAAAAAGCTAATCAAGCAGTTGTGCACATGAACAGACAATCTCCAAGGGCTCATGTACTTGTTACCTAATGGTCAACTTGTTTAAGGGAAGTCAACAACTTCCTCACTCATTTAAAAGCAATTAGCTCAAAGCATCCTCCCATTCTTTAAGAGTTTTGGAAACTACTGAGTATTAATATAAAAGATCTTTTCATACAACAGGACAAGATAAAGTTTTTTAAATACCAGTTTTACTGCGATGTAATTCACATACCTCACTATTCATTTATAAAAACATACAATTTAAAAAATATATATTTTATTGATTTTTTTACAGAGAGGAAGGGAGAGAGCCAGAGAGCTAGAAACGTCAATGAGAGAGAAACATTGACCAGCTGCCTCTTGCACACACCCCACCGGGGATGTGCCTGCAACCAAGGTACATGCCCTTGACTGGAATCGAACCCTGGACCTTGCAGTCCACAGACCGACGCTCTACCACTGAGCCAAACCGGTTTCGGCAAAACATACAATTTTTAATAATGAAGTTATGTTCTGAGATACATGAAGACAAACCAAGATTTATCTAACAACAAATTTCATTTAACGTGGCTGAAATAGCAATTCTGAGTTTATGTATAACTTTAAAATTCCACATTATCTGGCTATTACTGAAATGTCAAATGATAGTTACCAAGCTGTCATACAAAGTGGCCAAAAGAGCACAGTCAGCTTCCACAGAAGCTGTCTGTACAAACAGAACCTTGACTCAGTAACTGAATAACACGAACTGTCAGCATAACAGTGAAAAGGAAGTCAATGCTCATTTTGAAAGCAATAAAACTTTTTACCTACGTAGATGAGCTGTATATTTTAAAATATGGAAAATATAATGATTTCCATAATTTTAAGTCTGTGGTTCCCAACCGGGGTGAGAACTGTACTTTAGGGCAGCGGTCGCCAACCGGTGGTTGGTGGACCACAGGTGGTCCGTGAGGTCCGAAAGCTTGGCGACTGCTGCTTTAAGGGACATCTGACATCTAGAGACATTCTTGGTCGTCATGACTGGGCTTGGGGAACGCTGCTGACACTGATGACAGAAACCAGATACTGCTAACCACCCCACAATGCACAGGAAAGCTCTCTTCCCAAACAAAGAATTACCTCGCCCCAAATGGCAATATGCCAAGACTGAGAAACTCCCTTTTAACTGTCAAAAGCAGGCTATAACGTAAAATGCATCAGAACAGCCACTCGTAGTATTTATCCAAAACAGGTTAGCAAGGAGGCAATATGGGTGTAGCATTAAGTAGTTAGTTGAGAGTACTGGCTTTACCGTCAAAGAATGCCAAAGTGGAATCCAAACCAATTCTCACGTGTTCGATGTTGTTAACTGTAAAAATTCTAGTGTAATGCCTATCTCTTAAAGCTATTCTGAGAAATAGTAAATGAGAAAATATTTCTAAAGGGCTTAGAGGTTGGGACTCAGATCACATATCATCAATGGTAAGCATTAAAAAGGAATGTAACTTTTTTCCAATATTTAACACAATATATAATAGAAACTGGATTTCTTACAAAATTACCAATTTACCTCCACTGGCCCCATGTTCAGAACATAAAATATTCACATTACAAAACCTGTCTATTCTAGAACTACCATGTCTTTGACTTGGAAAATAGTTTACCTTCATCTGACTGATCACTTCCACTGGAACTCCAAGTTATTTCTGTAATCCCACTGGCACTCTTAGATGTGGTAGTTTCTATTAAAGAAAAATAAAATATATAAAAAGCAATCACCTTATATTGTTATCAGAATAGAAATTAATGCATGTTCCTTTGGCGAAGTTATAAATACACAAAATTCTGATGCTAGCGGGAACAATGACTCGTGTCAGATCTTTCTGTCCACTATTCTATGTGTAACCTGGGTTAAACTTCTTTAAAGTAAAGTCATATTACAAGAAGAAAAAGAAGTAGAAATGATTGAAATAAGTTACAAAAGACAAGAAAAATGACTGGAGCACAAATGAAAATTCAAAAAAATAACTTTGAAATAATTATGGATTATATTGTTTCCTTATTAGAGTATTTCATTAAACAACAACAAAAACACAAATCAGAAACTACAAAATCAAAACTTATGTATAATAGAAATGTGTCTGTGTGCCTCCTTTGCCATACTAAAAGCCCTGGTAGCAGCAGTGTGCTTAAAACACTTAACAGAAAATTTTTTCAATTAAACTTGCTGTTTTGAGATAACACTAAATTAACATCTATAGCCTACCCTCAGTGTTTTTCAACCTTTTTTGGGCAAAGGCACACTTGTTTCATGAAAAAAATCACGAGGCACACCACCATTAGAAAATGTTAAAAAATTTAACTCTGTGCCTATATTGACTATATATAAAGTAATTCTCTTGAATAGGAATCAAATAAACACAAAGAAAGTATTTTATAATTACTTTATTATGAAATATTAAGTAAACAAAATAGTGAAAAATTATAAAATTCTTGTCTTGTCTGCACCTACGGCACACCAGGCAAGATGTTGCCTGGTGTGCCGTAGGTGCAGACAAGACAAGACTAGTGTGCCGCGGAACAGCGGTTGAAAAACGCTGGCCTACCTAATAAAAGAGTAATATGCAAATTGACCGCACCTTTGCTACACCCAAGCCACGCCCATCAGCCAATCAGGGTGAGTATACAAATTAATCCAACCAAGATGGTGGTTAATTTGCATATCAAGACAACATAGAAAGAAGCCAAAGGCTGCAGAAGGGAGCAGAGCGAAGCTTCGGAGAAGCAAGCAGGCAGGGCGGGGAGAAGGAAGAGAAGCAGGCAGGGTGGGGAGAAAGGGAATTCCGCAGATGGGGTGGGGAAGAGCGCAGCAGGAAGCCCTATTGCAGGAATCTTCCTGCTATGGGCTACGAATATATATATACACACACACACACACACACACACACACACACACACACACACACACATATATCCCTAATATACAAATAGACCAAATGATGGAACAACCAACCAACCAAACAACAGAACAGCTGGTCACTGTGACGTGCGCTGACCACCAGGGGGCGCTCACGGAACATGGTGGGTGTCAGCAGCAGGTGGCAGAGCGCAAAACATGGCAGATGTGGGCCACATCGGGATGGTGGAGCAGATGTGTGGGGGCACCAGACTAAGGCAACAGCCTGTTGCTGTCATTGGGGTGAGCCTCTGGTGGTTACTGAAAATTCTTTGCTCCCGTGTGTCAAGGGCCTACCCAGCGCTCGCACCTGCTGCAATTATATAACAAATTCATGAAATTCATAAGCCTATGAATTATAGACACTTAACTATGAAATTTATATAAGTAAAACCACTATTACGAAATTTAATAGTCAGTAAGTCATTCTATTTGCTGAAAAGGGTTGCCCTTGAAATCAAGACCCATTCCAGTGAAATTCCAGGAAGGACATCAGCCAGACTATAGGAATAGTTACCATGCATTTGTAAACATTTCTGGGTGCCCACTGTGTGCTAGGCATTGTGCCAGCATAAGTTGAACTATGCCCCTCCCAAAAATTCATCCATAAGTTAAATTTTTAACCCCCAGCATTTTAGAATGTGATGTTATTTGGAGAAAGGGTCTTTACAGAGTTAATCAAATTAAAGTGAGGTCTCTGGGTGACCCCTAATCTGATAGGGTTCTTTATAAAGGAAGAAACTTGGACACAGAAACACATTCAGAGGGGAATCGATGGTGTGAAGAGACACGTGGAGAAGACAGCCATCTACAAGCAAAGGAAAGAAGCCTGGAGAAGATTCTAAAATGAACCAACTTTTTCAATTCCTTCATTTTGGACTTCTAGCCTCCAAAACTGTGAGATATTAAGTTTCTGTTGTTCAAACCACATACTTGTTTTATTATGGCAGCCCTAACAAACTAATATACCTAGTTGAAGATGAACATATAAAGATGAGCAACAGAGAAGTGTATGCTTTTAAGAAACCCATAATCCAATGAGGAGAAAACAAGGCCAAATTTAATATATCTCAAGAAGTAAGAGATTTCTAACCTCAATAAAAGTATTTCAGGGGAAAAAAAATAAACACTATTACCTGTTTATTTCATAGTTTAATTTTGTTTGGTAAATAGATTTTTTTAAAGTTCTACTTTTTAGCCGAAACTGGTTTGGCTCAATGGATAGAGCATCGGTTTGGGGACTGAAAGGTCCCGGGTTCGATTCTGGTCAAGAGCATGTACCTTGGTTGCGGGCACATCCCCAGTAGGGGGTGTGCAAGAGGCAGCTGATCGATGACTCTCTCTCATTGATGTTTCTAACTATCTCTCTCCCTTTCTCTTTGTACAAAATCAATAAAATAAAATAAAAGAAAGAAAAAATATTTTTTTAAAAAAGTTCTACTTTTTAAAGAAAATTGCTATCTACAAAGGTTCCAATCTCTTAATTTTAAGTTTTTATCTTTTTCCATCTCTCCTGAATCTCTACCAAGAGCCTTTGCTAAAACTTACATGCTTTCTTCTCTCAACTTTCCATCTTCTTCATTTCCTCCTGCTTTAGTCTTCTCTGGTTCCCACTGTCTTTTTTTTCCTCCCCACACACTTTGCAAAAGTATGTTCTCCCACTTCTACTTCCCAGCTCTGATAAAAATATTGCCTCCACACCCTAAAATTTCTGTTAATAGCTTGTCTTTAAAATGGATGCTATGTTTTCAAATGAGCCAGTTCTAAGAAATACCTTAAGTTCACTTTATCAATTTCTATTAGTAAGCTTTTGTTAAATTATCAATACTTTCTTGCTTTAATAAGCTTCTTATATGTTGCAAGTAATTATATATTGGCAAAAGCTCTTTAAGCCTCTAAGAGTATATTGCGTATTCTAGAGAATAGAACGTATGGCAGAGTGAGTCAAATATACACTAACGTGTGGAAATCATTCCAAAACATCCTTTTGTAATTAGATAAAAGGTAGCTGCTTATTTAATATATCTTTCTCGAAGTTTAACTATACTTAAAAGTTCATAGAAAGATATAAGCCACATTTATAAAATACTATTGTATTTTCTCCATATAATATATTATGATAGTTTAGAAGTTAGAATTAATTGATCTTTGAATATCATAGCTTTTGGCACTAATAAGAAGAAAAGTTAAATTCTGGAGATCCTCTAGAAAATTATGCTATTACAAAAAGATGTGTGCCAATTTTATTTTATAATAGAATTTTAGGAATTTTTTTAAAATTTGAGAAATTTTATTTTCATTTGTATAAATTTTAGTGAAATAATAATATCACTTAAAGTGTTTAGTCTCTTATTCACAGTCTTCCCACTCTGCAGAACTCTGAACAGGCTTTCATGTCGTTCGTTTGGCCATCAGACATAATAGCAATTGCTGCCATCAATGCATTTGAGCTAAGCACTTTATTTTTAGCTCACAATAATCCAATGAGGTACACATTCTTATTCCCATTTTCCAGATGCAGAAACTAAGGCTTAACATGTTTTGCATGCTTTCCCAAGGTCACTGCCAGGACAGTCAGGATACTATGGGCCGATGAGTTCCCCATTCTCCCTTCTCACCCACAGTAGCACTGAGTGTTGCAGCACAGCGAATGACCTACCTGATATCCAGCCCTCTCCTTCCTTACTAACAAAACCCCCATTTTATTTGAGTAGCAACATACAGGTTTAAAAATCCTTAATTTCACTGAATTCTCTTTAGGGGAGGGGCCTCTCTGTAATAGGATCTGGCCAAACCTAGAAGTCCTGGCGTGGGAATTCCTCCCCAGATGAAAAGTTCCCTTGGAGAAAATCCTCAGACCTACATTATTCCCAAGGATTGGGCCTGGAGAATTCAGCTTCTACCTCTTAACCACAAGAACCACCCACACCAATGCTACAGAATTTCAGTAAGAGCCTGGCTCCCTGGACTTCTCGTTACGGAAGATAAATTCAACCCTATTTCTTCAAACACTAATACAGTTCCCTACTATGTGTAACTGAAAGCCTTCCCTAACTAATTTGTCAAGTAAGAATTTCATTGCCTGAAGTAGCATAGGTCATAATGTTATTTCACAAGTCAGACATTTTTTAAAACGTCAGAGCTATGAGTCTGAGCTAACCTACTGGCTCTGTCAGTGAGTAAACCCAGAAAGGGCACACCAAAAATTCTAATGATTACCTACAGGAGGCAGGAAAATGGGGCAGCCAGCGACAAAGGTGAGAGACAGACTTCTCAAAAAATACCTTCTTACATTGTTGGGATGTTTTTAAAGCATGAATATATAGTCTATTCAAACTATGTAAGTAATGTTTTAAAAGAAACTAAATCAAGGAAGGATATGTTATCCTTATACTTTTTCTATCAAGAAATCAATAATCAATGAAATATTACCTTTCTTGGGACTAGCAAACAATTCAATGTGCTTTTCTGTAACAGTCTTCTTTTCAGCTGCTAATGACTGTAGGCAGATAATAAAGAAAATAATAATAATAACAACAATGTATAGTACTTTATGTGACAAGGGCTAAAAACCAACGATATTTTGTAAAATATTCAAAACTTTAATTGCATTCTTCTCAACATATTCCTCTCTCTTTTCCCTTATTTATATTTACCAATAATTATTCCCAAAGCACCTATTCTTCATATACTTAGAAATGTATTTTTATAGTTTTCCTGAAACTGAACAGAAAGCTACCTAACATTTAGTTTATAATAGTATTGCTCCACATGTTAAGTATTTTAAAGTTACATTTACAAAAAATAACCTGAATACAGCAGGTCGGAGATCTGCGGAGATTTGGGTTACGTCGGAGATCCGTTTTTACGGCGATGTAAGTCAGAACCCACCTACCTAAGCACCTACATCACTCACATGGAGCACAGACACAGCAGTAATGAAGTGAAATGGTAACAAAAATTTAAAAGAAAGTTAACAATTCCTGCTCTACTTACAGTAAATAATAAAAACATAAAGCACTTTGAAATAACAGAACTTTTTTTTTCATAAATAAATGGGAGATGGAGACAAAACCATGAAACGAAGTATGTCGAGTCCCACATAACGCGAGGACTGCCTGCATCACATTATATATCTGAATACATAATTATACTTCTTGTAAAGAGGATGCTCATTGCTCTTCCGAGAACGTTCTTCTCAGAGAATTCTCAGAAGGTATCCTTCATATATTAAAAAAAAAAAAAAGTATAAAGGTACTGCCTGGCATAAAGAGGTGAGTACTGCCGAAGCCGGTTTGGCTCAGTGGATAGAGAGTCGGTCTGTGGACTGAAAGGTCCCGGGTTCGATTCTGGTCAGGGGCATGTACATTGGTTGCGGGCACATCCCCGGTAGAGGGTGTGCAGGAGGCGGCTGGTCGATGTTTCTCTCTCATCGACGTTTCTAGCTCTCTATCCCTCTCTCCTCCTCTCTGTAAAAAATCAATAAAAAATATATTAAAAAAAAAATGAGGTGAGTACTGACATGCCATAACTATTAAAGGAACTCAAGGATAAGAAAAAAATGTAATATAGTTTCCTACTATATTATATAGTAGGAAATTCCAAAGAGATAAGAAAGGGAATTCCAAAGATAAAAGTACTGTGGCCTGAACACTCAGATCTAAAAATTTTACTATAGTAAACCTTCAATTTTGTAGTCTTCGATTTAACAGAATTAGGATTTTAATGGGCAAAATTTCCAGTCTGGATGTTGTTTTAAAACACCCTGTTAAGCCCTAACCAGTTTGGCTCAGTGGATAGAGCATCAGCCTGCAGACTTGGGGGGCCCAGGTTCGATTCCGGACAAGGGCATGTACCAGTAGGGATTGTGCAAGAGGCAGCTGATCTATGTTTCTCTCTCATCAATGTTTCTAAGTCTCTATCCCTCTCCCTTCCTCTCTGTAAAAAAATCAATAAAATATATTTTAAAATAATAATAAAATGAAAAATGAAAAAAAAATTAAGAAAAGGAAAACTCAGCATACGTTGGGCAAGAGGCAGCAAATAAGTAGTAAGTATAGCTGGTGACAGAACTACATTAAAAAACGAAACAAAACAAAAACAAAAACAAAAAAAACCACACCCTGTTAATTTCAAAATGCTCTTAACGAACATTTGCTTATAATTAAATTAACAGTGTGTTTTTTTTTAATTCACAATTATTTTTAACAAAATTTAGCAAATTTTGCCGACATAAATAAGAGATTGCATTATCTACAAATATAGTGTACATATTTAGATCCAAGAGTCACTGCTCATAAACAATGTTTGGCGATGATCAGCATGGGACCACGCCACATCGCACACTGGTAGTTGTTGCGTGGTGTGACTTTCTGGGGCAGTTTTGCTGGTGACGTGTGCCAGCCAATGTTCTAAGGAAAGCTAAGCCATGCCCCCGCCGTGTGCATCTGTTCGCTGGAGATGATCGGTAAAATGCACACATTTACTACACCTATTCAGTATACATCTAAAATTACAGAATATGCATACAAAACTTTTCTGTGAAATTAAACTTTTGATAGAACACTAAACATGTCTACATAAGTAAACACAGGTAAACTAATTTGTCAAATTTTTAACATACACATTCGAAAAGCCTACTTTATTATATAACAAACTCCCAGCTTAAAGGACACCCCCTTGCCCGATTGAGTACTTTACCAGAGTCCCAGGAGAGCCCCGAAATCCTTCCTCACACCTGCGCCATGCCTCTGCGAGGGAGGTCCTGAGGCCTGCTCTCCTGGGCTGCGGGGGGCACTCCCCTGAAAAGGAGGGGCATTCCACGGCATCCCGGTTCCTTTTTCTCTGTAGGGATAATTTTTAAAGAAAAAAATAATCAACCTCACTGAGTTGACAATTAACAATATGGCAAAACCAAGAATGGCAACGATGAAGGCATAATATTTTAAATGTCTCGGAATCCCCATGTAAAGGAGTCACGTGACAGCAAAATCAAAAGTACACAGACAACAATTATCACTTGTCAACAAAGTCCAAAATACAAATGGGTGAGGATAAACAATCAATCCTCCAAACTCCTTCATGGTATCATACCTAAAAGGCAAGAAGCTGAGAGAAGCAATGACTGCTGGTGTTCACCACAAAGCGGAGCAGGCGACCTGAGAACGGGGTCTGCAAAGGGGGGAGAACAAGGTCCCAACCAAGACCCAAAGGGCTGGGGCAGCTGGGCACTCCAACAGCCAGTCAGCTAGGCCCACCTCCCTCCAAAGGGCCCAATGCTGGGAACTGCTGGCAGTGGAATCTGCTCACCAAAAGTCCTCTAAAAACCGCTGACTACTGTCACCGGGGTGCTGGAGCCATCACCTAGTGTGGGACGACGAATACATTCGTAATGCCTCACCGCTCTGGCCTTGTGTGTTCTTCCTCTGGCGACCCTAACAGTGCCCTGACCAGGAATCCAACCATGACCTCCTGTGGTGGCTGGGCTACCTGACATCTTTTAAGATCTCTCTCCAAATTGCCTGGGTAACCACTCCCATCAGACTGGTGAGAATACGTGGAGTTTTCCTTCGTGTGTGAGTGACACCTCTTAAGAAGGACAGTAAATAAAGGCAAATCATCATTTTTAAACCTTAAGGGAAACTATGGCAGTGCTGAAATGTGAGCTAGCACCTACAAACGCTGCAATAGTAACGGAACAGCAAACTCGAGAAAACAAAACCTCTCCTTAAAAATAAAAACATCATCATCGAAGCCATAGTCCCAGTCACATATGTGCATGAAAAGTCACCCTTCCTCTGCATGTTCCAGCTCTCTGCTCTGCTCCCATGTGGGGCCTGGGTGACCTGTCCCTACAACATGTGCAGTGCATGGATGCGGCCTCCGGTGCCAGCCGCAGCTTAGCCCCACGCCCACGAGGCATTTCCAGGGGCTCTGCGTTCCTCAGCTCTACCCTTGACCCTGGAAGCTACATAACATGAAAGGAAACCCACTAACACTGGTTTAATGGGTGTCTTGAGATTAATATCTTTTTCAGAGATCCTGCCCAGGAAACATCCAATCCTCTGCTTTCCTACCACGGCTGCCCTGGAGCAAGGACTGTCCACTGCGCCGCGCACTCTGGTGTGCACACAGCACTTCACATGCCAGCCCTGGGACGCTGTCTGTGCACAGGTGTGCACATAGCACCGCACTTCACACGCCAGCCCTGCGACACTGTCTGTGCACAGGTGTGCACACAGCACTTCACATGCCAGCCCTGAGACATTGTCTGTGCACAGGTGTGCACACAGCGCTTCACATGCCAGCCCTGAGACACTGTCTGTGCACAGGTGTGCACACAGCACTTCACACGCCAGCCCTGAGACACTGTCTGTGCACAGGTGTGCACATAGCACTTTACACGCCAGCCCTGAGACACTGTCTGTGCACAGGTGTGCACACAGCACTTCACACGCCAGCCCTGAGACACTGTCTGTGCACGGATGTGCACACAGCACAGCACTTCACAGCTTGTGACCAGACCCCGGCAGTCGCGGCATGGCAGACTGGCCGCAGACCCTCAGAGTCCTGTCCCACAGAAGCAGGAAGAGAGATTGGGGAAAGTTTGGGGAGAATGGAAAGTGCGGCAACAGATATTTGGGGGACGAAGGGCGGGTGGAAACGACAGCAGAGCCACTCCAATGCACACCCCGCTGTCCGCGTGAGTTCCACGTGTCAAAAAGAAGGAAAATAAACTACCACACACCAGTGAGGGCAACTGGATCTCACGCGCACGTTCCAAACCCGGCTCCGCCCAGCGCCTCGCTTCCGTGCCCGCGGGCTGGGACCCCCGCCCCGCCCTGCGCACCTCCGCTCGGGACCTCCGCCCAGACCCGGAGGGTGCGGCTCCCTCAGCCCGACCTCCGGAGCCGCAGCTCCGCCCGGGGCCCCCGCCAGCACAGCACCCACGTCCCGCCGCAGCCAGGCCCGGCCAGTGCCCGGGGCGGAACGCCGAGCAGGACGCGCACAGAGTTCCGGGCGGCCGCCGGAGCGCGCGCGGCGCCCGCCCCGAACCTCCGCTCACCTTCGGGGCGCGCGAGCCGCCGCCCGGCATCTCCTGCACGCCGCCCCCGCGCCAGCCGCCCCGCGCGGCGCCCCTCCACAGCGCGCCGCGCAGCACCGCGCCGCACCGCGCGCTGCAATTGGCTGGCGATCGGGCGGGGGGCGGGGCTTCTCTGGACGCACCGCCCAACCAGCATGTGCGTCACAGCGCGCGCTGTGATTGGAGAGCACGCTGGCAGGGGGCGGGTCTCTCTGCCAGCCCGCGCTTTCTGGGCATGAATGGGCTCCCAGGCTGAGGTGTGAACCCAGGGTGGGTGAGCGGCGAGGGGAGTGTAAGCCTCTAACTGTTGTTTTCTAAGAAAGCTCATATGTGGTCTCTTTTGTTGGGCATCAGTTGACATTAAATTAAAATGAAAACCCAAAGTAAGCTCCGAATTCAAAATGAATACGTAAGGAATGGTTAAACAAAAATGTGAACCCCCTAGGCTGCAAGTGATTAAGAAAGCTTTTGTTGAGCCTGGCCTGCGGGGCTCAGGGCTTGAGCATCCACCTAAGAACCAGGAGGTCACGGTTCTGTTTCTGGTCAGAGCACACGCCCGGGGTTATGGGCTCCATACCCAGTGAGAGCTTGCAGGAGGCCGGCGATCAATGATTCTCTCTCATCATTGATGTCTCTATCTCTCCCTCCCTCTCCCTTCCTCTCTGAAATAATAAATACAAATATAGGGGAGGTGGGATTTTTTATTGAGCCAAAAAACACTAGCCAAAAAGAAAGAATATAAAAGGAAATGAAAGACAATATGTCCATTGTGTAGGAGTTTGCAAGCATTTTTATACATCAAGCAGATGAAGGGAGGAGAAAGATGCAAGCTGTCTGAAAGAATTTACATTGGCTATAGGCAAAGGGTTGGTAAAAGTTCAGCCAGGCCAGCTCTGGTATAGGCACAGAATCCACAAAAATAAATGCCCACTCTTGTGGAATGACAGTAGGATGGGGTGGAGTGGGATGGGTGGGGTGAGGTGGGGTGGGGTGGCATTGGGGGGGAGGGAGGGGGAGGGAGGGAGTGAAGCAGGGGAAGAGAGAATGCCAAAGGACATAGTGAATGATACTGGGCATGAGTATTATTCTGAATGTTTTTTAATTTCTTCCCCCCACCCCAACACTACACACACACACACACACAGACACACAAAACCTGTGTGGAGCAAAAGGAAGGTCACCACAGGAGAACGAGAACTACTGCTTGACTCTAAGCCTCGGTACTAGACTACTGGGCCTCCTGCGCTTGCACTTGGCAGAGACTCAATCCGGAGGCCAGGGGAGGAGTGGAAGGAAGTTTAAGGTGGTTGCACTGTGGCTGGGGAAGGGGGGGCTGGCGGCCGAGAAGATGAGGAGGAGCATATTTTCTTTTCTCCTAATGGATCCAAGTTTGGGGGTTGTCTGAGCAGGGTGTTCTCTAGGGGGTGAGGAGGGCAGCAAAAACAAGAGGGCAGTCTTCGGGTCTGTCCTGATTAGACTTTGGGGCACGCCCGATGGGTGAGTGGCCACCAGAAGTGTGTTTGTGGCTCCAGCCAGAAACCCCTTCTTCGTTCACTTCAGTCCACCTAATACCCTCCCTGGATGAGGAGAGTGCATGTGTTTAACCAGGACCCTCTAAGGACCACAGAGATGGGAATGGCTTATTCTTGTGTCTCCATTTCCACAGGACATGGGAGTTAATGTTCTAAAAATGATTCAACCTGCATTTTTCATGTTCTTTGAAAGAAGTTTCTATTTCAGGTACTGCTATGTGTTATTTATAAACTATAATAGGCCTGGTGCACAAATTTGTGCACCAGTGGGGTCCCTCAGCCTGGTCTGTGCCCTCTCCCAATCTGTGACCTCTCAGGGGATCAAGTAGTGCTCAAAGTAGCAGGCGGCCAGGGAGCCTGGGCCTGGAGCCACCCGGCTCCCACTCATTCTGCCCCACTGCTCCTGCCGAGGGCTCATGCCTCGTCAGTCCAGATGGGGAGAGGCTCTTGCCATGAACCCGGCATTTGGCAACTGTTGGTTAGCTGAACAGTGCTCCTGCTGAGGGAGCACACTGACCACCAGGGGGAAGCTCCTGCATTGAGCACCTGCCCCCTGGTGGTCATTGCGTGTCACAGCAACAGTTCAACAGGTAGCTTAGGCTTTTATATATTAGACTAGAGGCCAGATGCAGGAAATTTGTGCAAGGGGCTCAGCCCCCACCACTGCCACAGATGCCTCTGCCTTGGCCCCTGCAGCACTGTGGCCTAGTCCAGAAGGTCATCTGGAAGGTTGTCCAGAAGATTGTCCTGTCTAATTAGCATATTAGGCTTTTATTATTATAGATGATGTGTGGGGGGGAAAAAAGACCCAAAGGACTTGTATACATGCATATAAGTACAACCAATGGACAAAAAACTCTGGGGAGGGAGGGTATGTATGGGAGGGGGGGACAATGTTAAAATATGTACACAGATAATAATTAAAAAAAAAAAAAAGGCAAGTGCTAGTATGACTACCCACCTTGCACCTCTAGACTGCCTTCCACTCCCCACTGCAGGCTTGCATCTGTGGTCATTCCCTTTGCCTAGTCCCCACTTATCTCCACCCTCCTACCCCCAATCCATGGTTTTGCCCGCACTGAACCAACCCAGCCAACTGGTCCACCCCTTTTCTTTGGAGGTTATAAAAGTGGCCACTGCTAGGTGGGGCCCTACTATGGGGCACCGTTGTGAGCTGGCTGGACCATTTCGGGCCCACCGGTGAGGTGGGGATACTTTACTGGCAACTAGGAGCTTTGGAACCTTTATCCTCTCTCAATCTGTCCCCCTCTCTCTTTCTCATGCTTACCTATTTTTTTTGGAATAGAACTTTGATCAATCCTATTCAAAATCTGAAAATTGAGGGGGAAAAAAATGAAACAACAAAATACTCAATATGGCTTTCCAGGCAAAAATTCACATATTCTTTTTCAAATTACTGTATAAATAGCACATAGATATCTAAAATAAAAAAAAAACCAAACAAACAAAAAACAAAAAAAACAAAACAAAAAAAAAACCAAAACTGTGCCTGTTTAGCAAGGCACATTACTATATGTTAGGAGAGTAAATGATTGTAAATATGATGGTGATCCATTTTATTTTTTAAAAATTTTTATTGATTTTTAGAGAGACAGAAACATCCATGTGAGAGCAGAACACTGATTGGCTGTTCCCTGTCAGGAATCAGGCCTGCAACCTGGGCATCTACTCTGACCAGGAATTGAACTATGACCTCCTGGTTCATAGGTAGATGCTAACCACTGAGCATGGTGGTCAGGCCCATATTATTAGTTTTAAGCAAACTGATAAAAAAAAAAAAAAAAAAAAAAAAAAAAAAAAAAAAAAAAAAAAAAAGAAGCAGCAGTAAGAAAGATTTGAGTTTTTATCCCATTTTCCCACCTTACAGCTGAACGGTGTCAATCATCAGTTTAAGAGTAATATCTAGTATGGTTCTTTCTAATAGTAATTGCCTTCAGAAACAACTGATTAGGTACATGAGAATATCGCTGCCTCATTTGAAGCATAAATGCTTCCATACTGATTCAAAAGCAAAGTACCCTCATGTTTAACAATATTAAAAAAAGAGATAGGAAGAGATATTTTTATTACATTTACAAGGATGACATTGGTTAATAGGATCATATAGGTTTCAAACATACATTTCTATGATACATGATATGTATCTTGCATTGTTTGTCCACACTCAAAGTTAAATAATCTTCTATCACCATATATTTGGGTCTTTTTACCTTTTTTTTTAGATTTTCTTTTTTTAAAATTTATTTTATTGATTTTTTACAGAGAGGAAGAGAGAGAGATAGAGAGTTAGAAACATCGATGAGAGAGAATCATCAATCAGCTGCCTCTTGCACACCCCCTACTGGGGATGTGCCCACAACCAAGGTACATGCCCTTGACCAGAATCAAACCTGGGACCTTTCAGTCCACAGGCCGACGCTCTATCCACTGAGCCAAACCGGTTTCGGCTCTCTTTACCTCCATGCAGTTGTCTGTGTGTATAAGTCTCAGTTTTATATCCCACATATGAGTGAATTTATATGGTCTTAGCTTTTTCTGATTGACTTATTTCACTTAGCAGAATATTCTCAAAGTCACAAATGGCATTATTTCATCTTTTCTTATGCTGAGTAATATTCCATAGGATACATGTGCCACATCTTCTTTCTCCAATCCTCTGCTGAAGTACATATTGATAGTTCTTTCCATGTCTTGGCCATCATGGATATGCTGCATTTACTTAATATTAGAAATGTTTCTTGCCCTAATCAGTTTTGCTGAGTAGACAGAGCATTGACCTGTGGACTGAAGAGTCCTGGGTTCAATTCTGTTAAGGACACATGCCCCGGTTTCAGGCTCAATCCCCAATAAAGGGTGTGCAGGAGACAGCCGATCAATGATTCTCTCTCCCTCTCCCTTCCTTTCTGAAATCAATTAAAAAAAAAAAATATATATATATATATTTTTTTTTTTCTTTTTTTTTTTTTTTTTCTAAGTGATTGCCTATCTCAATTTCTTTCCTTCAAATTTAGGATGGGTCCTTGTATATTTAGACAAGCGTTTTCAGCATGATAGGTAAGATATTAGTTTCATTAACTAAATTAAAACATCTTGATCCTGGTTGTGCACATAATTTCTAAGGACCTTTCAAAAACGCTCAAGTCTGGGCCTCACTTTTTTTTTTTTCCTTTAAAAGTTTAATAACATGCAATTTTGATACAACAGAGCATCAAAGTCCAGAACAAGAAACAGAATTGACATGAAAAGAAACACGTATGCTGAGGGATTGGTTCTCAGTGAACCACTTCCCAAAGCCGGCTTTTTCAGCACAACTTCCTCCTAATTTTCCTTCGGTTCTTACAACGTTCTTCTTGGCTCCTGGCTCTCTCTGCCTCCCTGGCCAGCCTGTCTGTCCTCAAAGCCACACCCTCTCCCTCTTGCTCTTTTTCACTTTCAAATCTGTCTCTGGATATCTCCAAGGGGAGCTGGTTGCCTGCAGAGAAGCTGTGGGCC